CCCCCCCCCCCCCCCCGCAAAAAAAAAAAAAAAAAAAGGAGAGAGAGAGAAGGAAAAGAAGGGAAAGAGGAGAGAAAGGGAAAAAAAGAAGAGGAAGAAAAAAGAGGGAAGTAGGAGATCGGGGGGGGGGGAAGGACTTGCCTCCCCCCTTCCCCCCCCCCCTCCCCAAATCAAAAAATAAAAGAGATGGAAGGCAAGGGAAAGAAAAAAGATAAAGAGGAGATAAAGGGAAGGACAAAATAGGAAGAAGAAAAGAAAGAAGGGGGATATCAGTTGCAATTTTCCCCGCCAACAAGTTGTGGATCGAGGGGGGGGGGGCAAAAGACCCTAGCCTCCCCCCCCCCCCCCCCGTCCCCGCTAAAAAAAAGAGAGAAGGAAGGAAAAGGAAAAGAGGAGAGCTAAAAGGGAACAAAAAGAGGAAGAAAAAAAGAAAAGGGAGAAAAGAAGCGGAGATCAGTTGCGGTTAATCCCGCCAACAATGTGTGGAGCGGGTTGGAGACAAAATGACCGTGCCCCTCCCCCCCCCCCCCCCCCCCAGCAAACCTAAAAGAGAGATAAGGAAGGGAAGGGAAAGTGAAAGAGGAGAGAAAGGAAAGGAAAAAAAAGATGATGAAGAAAGGTAAGGGATATCAGTTGCAATTTTCCCGCCAACAAGGTGTAGATCGGAGGGGGGGGGGGGGGGTTGGAGAAATAGAATTTAAACGTGGTTTATTTATAATTCCATAACGATGGTTAACAAATAATGCTGAAATGAGATAATTTTCCTCACTTCATGCGTTTTTTGGAAATGACAAATTCCTAAATTTACAGCCAGGCAAGAAAATGCTTCTTGAGATGCCTACATATCAGGACCCGCGGAACGGCGGGGATCGGGATCCTCGAGCCCCTCCCCCCACACTTTCTTTGAAAAAGTATATTAAAGAGAAATAGAAAGAAAGAGAGCGAGAAAGAAAAAATAGTTAACTGCCAGTGTCACATTATGATGGGGTATCAAAATATGCTCATCTGACCATGATTAAAATTAATGCCTAAAATCCTAAGGGCTCTGCCCCCTGGATTCGTCCTAGGGCCCTAAGGCGGGCCCTTAGATGCTCATATGACGGTCATTTAATGCCTAAAACCCCTGATTTCTGGGGGCTCTGCCCCCTGGACCCCACGCCAAATAGTGTCCTGCTAGTGTCACAAATAATAAGGTATCAAAAATGCTCATCTGACCGTAATCAAACGCCTAAAACTCCTGAACTTCCGGGCTCTGTCCCCTGGACCCCGTCTAGGGCGCTAAGGCGGACCCCCGAATGCTAATCTGACCGTAAATTAAAACCTTAAACCCCTGAGCTTCCGGGGCGGACAAGGTATCAACATATTATGTTCATCTGACAGCAGTCGCGTAGCCAGGGGGCGGTGGGGTGGTCCCCCAAAAAACGCCGGCCAAAAAAGAGAGGAGTGTAAAGGAAGAGGACGTAGGAAGAAAAGGGAATAGACAAAGAACATATTTGAAATTCAGACAAGGATTAAAAGTCATAACGGTACAACGAATCGTCTTATTTCGCTAATGATTTAATTAAACGTAAAAAATGTATTCAGACGAGGATTATTTTCGAGAACGGTACAACGAATCGGCTTCTTTCTCTAATGATTTAATGAAACGTACAAGCTTCCGCGCGTCGCGCGGGAGGGAGAGGGGATGAATTAAGACGAGGATTAAGAGTCGAGAACGGTACAACGAATCGTCTTATTTCGCTAATGATTTAATTAAACGTAAAAAATGTATTCAGACGAGGATTATTTTCGAGAACGGTACAACGAATCGGCTTCTTTCTCTAATGATTTAATGAAACGTAAAAGCTTCCGCGCTTCGCGCGGGAGGGGAAAAACTATTTTTTAGACGAGTAGGCACGTACAGAAGAGGGGGGAGGGGTTAGGGGGTTGACCCTAACCCCTTTGGTTTTTTAAGTGTGTATTTTGGAGCAACCCCCCTCCCCCTTTTCTGTGATTTTTTTTTTTTTAATTAAAAAAAAATATATATATATGCCATTGGCTGACCTAAAAAAGGGTGACCTCCCCCCCCCCCCCCCCGACGGAACAAAATGTCAAATTTTCAAATTTCGAGACCAAAATAAAAAAAGTGTCCTCTTCCCCCCCCCCCCCCCCCCCCCCCCCCCCCGCTTATTTAGCAGCTGGCTGAGTCGTTACGATTTTTTTTCGGACCAAAAAATAAAGTGGGCCCCCCCCCCTAAGAAATCCTGGATCCGCGCCTGCACATAATGTTTTGGTATTTGAATCGCAGTTCACATTATCATATCGATCAGCACAAATATGGACATAACTTTCTGATTTTGCCCAACTCATATGTAATAAATTTCAGAAAAGGACGTCAACAAAATTAATACGGAAAGAGCAATTTTAATTTTATGCATATTTAGGACCACTGTTTCATTCAGTATAATGATCCAAATCAAAGGCTGTCTCATTGGAATTAATAAGTGTTAACAATAATTTAATTGATGTAACATTATAGTTACATTATAGTTTCAAATTCCCATTTTCCTAAATAAACCCGGGAAACGTCGGTCTTTCGATACACGAAAGAAGTTTACTAAATTTGGCACATGGTTTAATGGTGTTGGCATTCGGTTTAATGGTGATGGTTTGTTTGAGACAAGAATGCCTTTGCCTGGTTTTATTAATGAGATATATTTCGGTTCAACTCATTTACAAAGTGATGTACTCGAACATTATAGTATCAAATTTCCATTTTCCTAAATAAACCCGGGAAACCTCGGTCTTTCGATACACAAAAGAAGATTACTAAATTTGGCTCATGGTTTAATGGTGTTGGCACTCGGTTTAATGGTGATGGTTTGTTTGAGATTAGAATGCCTTTGCCCGGTTTCACTAATGAGATATATTTCGGTTAAAATCATTTACAAAGTGATGTACTCGAACATTAAAGTATCAAATTTCCATTTTCCTAAATAAACCCGGGAAACCTCGGTCTTCCGATACACGAAAGAAGATTACTAAATTTGGCACATGGTTTAATGGTGTTGGCACTCGGTTTAATGGTGATGGTTTGTTTGAGACAAGACTGCCTTTGCATAGTTTCATTAATGCGATATATCTCGTATTAAATCATTTACAAAGTGATGTACTCGAACATTATAGTATCAAATTTCCATTTTCCTAAATAAACCCGGGAAACCTCGGTCTTCCGATACACAAAAGAAGATTACTAAATTTGGCACATGGTTTAATGGTGTTGGCACTCGGTTTAATGGTGATGGTTTGTTTGAGACAAGAATGCCTTTGCCTGGTTTTATTAATTAGATATATCTCGGTTTAAATCATTTACAAAGTGATATACTCGAACATTATAGTATCAAATTTCCATTTTCCTAAATAAACCCGGGAAACCTCGGTCTTTCGATACACAAAAGAAGATTACTAAATTTGGCTCATGGTTTAATGGTGTTGGCACTCGCTTTAGTGATGTAGGTTTGTTTGAGACTAGAATGCCTTTGCATGGTTTCATTAATGAGATAGGCCAATATCTCGGATCAAATTATATACAAAGTGATGTACTCGAACATAATTGTATCAAATTTCAATTTTCCTAAATAAACACGGGAAACCTCGGTCTTCCGATACACAAAGGAAGATTACTAAATTTGGCGCATGGTTTAATGGTGTTGGCCCTCGGTTTAATGGTGTAGGTTTGTTTGAGACTAGAATGCCTTGGCATGGTTTCATTAATGAGATATATATAATTATATATATATCGGATTTAAATACTGAGTGATGTTATCAAACAACCTACCCTTAATTTTAATTTTCCTAAATAAACCCGGGAAACCTCGGTCTTTCGATACACAAAAGAAGATTACTAAATTTGGCGCATGGTTTAATGTTGTTGGCACTCGGTTTAGTGGTGATGGTTTGTTTGAGACTAGAATGCCTTTGCATAGTTTCATTAATGAGATCGAATCAAATCATCCTGAGTGATGCTATCAAGCAATATACCACTCTTAAAATACATGAAACGCCTATTATTTTACTAAATATTGTGGCTGTCAACTATCGAACTATTTAAGCAACATGCAAGTAATATTTGGTAGGTGGGTATATAGGCCTAGGTAGGTAATATAAGAACTGCATTGAACTGCTGGGTGCACATGTTTTCTTCTTCTTTTTCTACAAATCATCTTTTTTAAAGTTCCTTAGTATGAAGCCACGAAAGAATAAACTATTATGAACAAAATTAACTGTATGTTATTACAAAACTAGCTAGATGTGGGAGTGTAGTTGCTTTCAATTCTCTGTTCGTACTTGGCTTCACGGAGTAATTCGTCCTTTATAGTGATTCTCTTCATTCCGGAGCAACGTACATGTACTAATGCTTACGAACGTACTCGTGTACTGGTACATGTGTATATGACAGAGTACGCACGCCGCACGTCTATGACGTAGGGACTAATGAATATTCATGACTCCACTAAAGCTCGTGCCAATATATGCTACCGATACCCCTTTTAAATCTCAAATAATAAATTTTCAGACCCTGACGTATGTCACCCCATATATTAATGAGTATATCTTGGACCCTGTACAGAGAGAAACAATATTAAAAAATCCCTGATAATGTAATCACAATATATGGGGGTATATACCAACGTCTAAAAATAGTGTATTTTGGCTTTGAGGTTTCCTTTTGTAGGTGCCCCCTGTTTTCCCAGAAAGTGCCCTTTTTTGTTGCTGCTGATATGCTCCCTCATCACTTTGAAAGACGCTCCGCCGACCCTGGCCGGACTAACTCACTCTATGCTTATTAATATTCTTTGGTCTCTTTGTCTGGGAGCCCTATATCACCGCCTCGATCCAAATCTTCCTCCCTATTTTAACCCTCCTCGATCCACTAATAATATACATCCCCATTTCTGGCACAAATATTATGTCCTTCATAATTAAACAAATACAAAATTCTTGAAAGAGACTAAATCGGTGTACCTTTAATTTACCACGTGTGTCGCGTGTGGATCAAACTGTGTGCGAAATTGTCTACACTCATTTTTCAGGATTGTCATGTTTTACTAAATATTAGCTCTCAAAGGACCCAAACATGGAAGAAGCTACTCCAAGTCAGTTGTTCCCACATGTATTGAAATATTTAATCCAAAATAAACTGGAGAAGGCTGCAAAATGGTTCAAAAAAGAAACGGGAACGGTAAGTTAGCCAGCCCAAGTTCGCGTTCGGCGCATATCTACTAGTCTTATGGCAAAATGCGACATCGCATGTCAAACTACACCGGGGCTGGCGCGGCGTGCTTCATTCAGCCACACGCGTTATGTGTATCAGGTATTGACATACCGAAATGTAGATATTACTGAATGCCTAAAGGCTAAAGCCCTAATATAATTAATAATGCTTTGAATAATGGCAATTTTATGTGACCAGGCGCAGGCCAAGATGACATGGGGAAACTGCCCTTTCTGTGTGCATGGCCATGGGGGTGGGGAACTACACGATTGTAAAGTGGGAATGATGCAGTAGCTGCAGGAAAACACACAGTCTAGTAGATCTATATGAAGCTAGTAATATCTCGTGTTGTGAGCTTCAGAACATTTGAAAAGAAAATAACGCTGCTGTCATGACATAAGAAAACAGGGTCTGCTGTAGTTTAGGACGATGTGAAAGAGCCTTAATTGCGATTTATTTACTCTCAGTGCAAGGCCCAAACACTATGAATATGGCGGACAAAGAAAGCGGACAAAATATACAGTTCCTCAGGTAGACAAAGGAACATCCCTTCACTGCTATTATGTAAAAATGTGTAGAACAGGTGAATATGCATGTGATACCTGTTCCACACATTTTTACATAAAAGCAGTGAAGGGATGTTCCTTTGTCTACCTGAGGAACTGTATATTTTGTCCGCTTTCATTGTCCGTCATGTTCATAGTGAAAGCTTTAAATTATGTCTGTATTTGTTTTATGTTTTGTAATAGAAGCATTTTAACTAACCCCACTCAAGTATATTTATGCTAACCATCGTGTGTCTGACTTTATTTACAGCATCCTCCAGACACTGATCAGCCATCAGTCATGGATTTCTACAAGGCATGGTGGAAGAAAGATAAGACGTCAACTAAAAGAAAAGGCGAGAGTAGCCAGGCAGCAACCGGTGGACCTCTTGCAAAGAAGGTTCGAAAGAGTGAAACGAGCAGTAGTGAATCAAGTTCGGACGATGAAACGCAGACGACGTCAGTCAAGGCACCGGTAAAAAAAGTTGCAACCAGCTCAGCAGGACTGAAAAGAAAGAATGCAGAATCGAGCTCGGATGAATCAAGCAGCGATGATGAACCAGCGGTTAAACCCAAGAAAGTTCTTAAAAAAACTCCTGCCAAAAAACAACAGGAGAGTTCAAGCAGCGAGGAGGAATCCAGTGACGATGAAAAAACAGTTCAGAAGCCTGCAATCCCTGCCAAAAAAGTCCCAGTGAAAAAGCAGGAGTCGAGCAGCGAAGAAAGTTCAAGTGACGAGGAAGAGACACCTGCTCCAAAAGTCACACCAAAAGGTAAAACGACGAAGCAACAAAAACAGGATTCTAGTTCCGATTCAGACTCTTCCTCGACGGATGAAGAAGTAGTAAAAAAGAATGCAGCAAATTCCAAAGTTAGAAAAGCTGTTAAGGTTACACCTGTTCCATCCAAGTCCAAACCAGCTGAGTCTAGCAGCTCAGAAAGTGATTCAGAAGAGGAGGTAAAGAAAATGCCAAAGGCGAAGCAAACGCCAAACAAGGCTAAAACAGTACCGGTAAAAAAGGCAGAATCAAGCAGCTCGGATAGTGATGATGATAGCGAGGAGGATGTTGCCCCTAAACCAGTAAAAGTTGCCACACCAAAAGTGAAATCAACTTCAAAAGTTACCCCAAAAGTTACCCCAAAGGCCCCTATTAAAAAGGCGGAGTCGTCTGAATCTTCTGAAAGTGACTCTTCGGATGATGAGAGTGCTGCTAAACCGGTGAAAGCTACCCCAAAAGGTGTCAAGGTGAATGTGAGTAAAGCCAAGGTGCCTGCTGCAAGTAGTTCAGAGTCTGACTCGTCATCAGAGGAAGAAGGTGAAAAAGTGAAACCAGCTCCGAAGGCGACCAAGGTGACCCCCGCAAAGACTCCTTCAAAGAAGAAGCCCGTCTCAAGCAGCTCTGAGAGTGATTCCTCATCAGATGAAGAGGAAGCAAGTAAGAAGACTCTAAATGCAACAAAGTCTCAAACCAAGTCTCCTGCGGCTAAGAAGCCGGTCGAAGACAGCAGTAGTTCAGACTCAGAAAGCGATTCAGATGTTCCTGCTCCCAGCAAAACGGCCAAATCTCCTGCAACTAAGAAGCCAGTTAAAGATAGCAGTAGTTCAGATTCAGAAAGCGATTCGGACGTCCCTGCTCCCAGCAAAACGGCCAAATCTCCTGCAACTAAGAAGCCGGTCGAAGACAGCAGTAGTTCAGAGTCCGAAAGCGATTCAGACGTTCCTGCTCCCAGCAAAACGGCCAAATCTCCTGCGGCTAAGAAGCCAGTCAAAGACAGCAGTAGTTCAGAATCAGAAAGCGATTCAGATGTCCCTGCTCCAAGCAAAACGGCCAAATCTCCTGCGACTAAGAAGCCTGCCGAAGACAGCAGTAGTTCAGACTCAGATAGCGATTCGGACGATGCTGCTCCCACCAAAACAGCCAAATCTCCTGCACCCGGTAAACAAGCCAAATCTCCTGCGACTAAGAAGCCAGTCGAAGACAGCAGTAGTTCTGAATCGGAAAGCGATTCTGACGATGCAGCACCTAGCAAACCTCAAACCCCCAAAGCAGTGAAGGTTAATGGCATTCAACATGGTAATGACTCTGATGGCAGTAGCGAGAGTTCCGAGTCGGAAGAGGAAAAGACGCCAGTGGCGAAGAAACAGGTCTTGACAAAGGTAAGCACCCCTTGTCCAATTTTCTCCTGCCCTTCCATTGGCATAGCATTTGCAGATAATTATGAGTTTTTTAAAGCCCCACTGCACTACTTGTCTTGTACTATAGCTACTTGCGCCCTCTATATATATATATATATATATATATATATATATATATATATATATAGCAAACAATGCCTAATCGATGCCTGGTGGTCCCCCATGATCCCCTTTTTCTTATGTTTATTAAAAGCTGATTTGATGAGATAACCACCTGTCAGTGACCTTGCAGGGAGGTCTAATCCCCCCTAGCCAAGTTAGTGCAGGCTTTAAGACCCTCTTCGTTCATTGAAGATTGTTGCCCTAACTTTCTCAACTGAAATCTAATCCCCCCTAGCCAAGTTAGTGCAGGCTTTAAGACCCTCTTCGTTCATTGAAGCTTGTTGCCCTAACTTTCTCAACTGAAATGAATTGAAACATATTGACACTCTTTGACCTAAACTATTATATTTAAGAATGCAATGCAAGATATAGTTTTAAATGGAATTGAATGATATCATTTTCATGCTTTGTAATAATATACAAACTACACACAGGCGATTTTGAACACAAACGGGTTAGATAATTCCTTTTAAATGATTTCTGAAGTTTGTTCTAATTTCATGGTGATAAGTGGGTTTAATATAAACTCCCTCCTAGAAGATGTCACATTTGCATAAACTTTGATTTAAAAAACAAAATTAAAGTACTTATGAGAACAAAAATGTGAAGGAATAGCTTGAATTTCAAGTTTTCAACATTTCATTAAAGGTAAAGACCAGTTATGGTCATGCAATTGCATTGTGAAAAAAACGTTGTGGAATCGATCATAAAAGGTTGATCATCTAGCATCTAGCATCTGCAAGGTTCTGGAATCATCAAAATGATAAGAAATTTGGCCCATTCTTCGTAAAGTTACAAGCACTATACACAGAAAGATGTATATGGGACTACCCTATATCTCTCACAGACCATGAGAGAAACAAATTTACCAAATATATGAATTAGTAGGCGGTTTCCCGGCAAATTTTTTATCATCATGTATTAGTCAAAACATATTCTTTCACATGATTGGTAATGAGAGCTTCCATTTCATTTTTTGAAATTGGGGCGTTTCCAATACTGGTCTTTACCTTTAATATGATTATTGCTTTATAGCTCAACATAATGTGAACCTTCTTGTAGAAGTTTGATATTCAGTAAGTTGTAGATGCTAATTAAAAAGTTCATGATATTTGTATTTCACAGTTGAATGTGAATGTGATTTTGCAATGCTTAATATTCCCCCCTAAATATTTATCTCTCTGTTTATTGCTTGGTTTTTTTTCTTCGGGTTTTTAAAAGACTTTTAAATTCAGAGTTCAGACCAATAGCCATGCATGTAATAACGTTTGATGCTCTTTCTTATTAATTCTTTTTTATTCCTGGTTACAATAGAAGAGACGCCAATCCTCAAGCAGCGAAAGTGATAGCGACGAGGAGGAAGATAGCCAGAAGGATATCAAAGGAACACCAACCCAAGATGTGAAGGAGACACCCAAAACACCTAACACAGTCCCAAAGATGAAGGTTCGTGCTCCATTTCTCAAAATTGTTTTTTTTTATTTTTTTAGTTATTCAATTTTCCAATTTCTTGAAATTCAACATTTTTTTTACTGGCTTTTAAAGAGATCTTGTGAGTTTTGACCCTTTTCGATGAGATTAGTATGAAAAGACATTGCCATACATGAACATCCATTTTGTCTGAATTTTGTAACTTTTTTTTCTCTTTGATGCTTTTTAGAAATTTTGTTTCAATCACATTTACCAGTCAAATTTGGGCTACAGTGTAAATAGAAGAGAAATTCAACTGTACAAGAGAAGCCACAGTTGAAATCATATTAAATTATTCATGAAATGATATTAAAAGGAGAGTACATCACTAATATTTCTTATAGAAAATATTTATTCAACTTTTAATAAATGAATGAAAATAATTTAGAGTTCTACTTAATACTTTTTAGAGTTCATTGAAGAATGATTCAATAACTGTGAAATGTATTCAGTGTGAATGCAATCAGATTTAAAGAGGTACTACATTGTCATACATCATACATGTTGGATAGAACTCTTTTCTTGTGATTTTCTCGTTTCAGAAGGGGAGGAAGTCCAATGAACCATTTCGCAGAGTAAAAGAAGATGATCATGAGGTTGATTGGCGTCTCAAGGACAATTCATTTGATGCTAAGGTCAGTCAAAGCAGTCAATCTGGTATCCCTATCAGGACATGTTGTTTTTCAAATTGGCCACTAAATTTTTTCTTCTGTTGCTACATTGTTCTGTTAACATGTACCGTCTCTTAAAAAACAATATCTGTGTGTAGGAACTTTGTCAATTTTTTTTCTTCAGATTGGCAGTTTTGATGAAAATATAAGATTTTGAAACTTACACTATGCTACCATGCTGTATGGTCATGCAAGAAACATGGATGCAGTGTTTGAAGACAATTTTGCTCTAGGACTAGTACCGTTTTCACACCTGGTTCAGATTACCTGGGCTATCCTTAGCCCGGGCTAAGAAATTTGTTTTCACACCTGGTAAATTAACCCCGGGTTAACAGCTAGCCCAGGCTTTAAAACGTTGCCTGTTTTCACACCTGCTTAGCCTTAACCCGGGACTATTGGAATATTCAGAAGATTTACATGACCTAACCTGTGCGCACGCGCGGTGCAGTTCTACGACTCCACAACCGGAAGTTGACAGACAACTTCATTCTTCAAAATGGCACGCCACAGGATTCAAAAGGATACAATGGTTGTCCTGCTTGCCATTTTTGTTGTTGAGAAAGAATCATCGTCGGAGACAGAATAGCTTTAAGGGATCCGGTAACTTTATCTCAGATTCTGAAACAAAGTCCTGGATTTAGCTCATGCTGCAATGATAATTATAAACCTTTAGGTCAGTCAGGAACTCCGTGACTTTTATATCACCTGTCTGATTATCAAGATATTTATGATTGGAATTACACATTTTGAAAACCGTTTGCTAAACGGTTTTCATAACACTACAGTCTATTGGGGAAAACGAGTATGGTAAAACTGGTCACTCAAAGATTTTTACTTTTTTGAGCCACTTCTTGATCATTTTGAGGCGCGATATTTTTAGGGCTTCAATATTACACCATATCACAGACACTGATAACACGTAGGGCCGTGCATCTCAGATTTAACATTGTTAACCGATCCCTTTAACTACAGTAGAAGGAAGAGAATGAAACGTCATTTGCAACAATTTGAGGATTTTCAAAGTCGCAAACCCCTGCGTGCTACTGCGGAAAACGTGCGCTATCATGGGTGACTGTTCATATTCTTGAATATTCATACGTGCACCATCTTTCAAAAGATCTGCCAGGCTTTACACCTGACAGGATAGCGCGGCAATTGCCGCGCTATCCCTACTCTGGAGCAGGGCCAGCTTAGCCTGTGATCTTGCGGAGCTAACTCACTTTCGCAAAAAAACATGTGTGAACACGAAAGATAGGCCGGGAACTTGCAGCGCTAAAAACCCTCTTAGCCAACCCCCCCCCCCCCAAAACCAGGTGTAAAAACAGTATAAGACTATGATTCAAATGATGTTGAGCCATACCACAAAATGTATAATGACTTATTGATAATTCTAACCCTTATTTTGTCAAACTCATTGGAGATCATTATTTTGGATGTTTCATAAGGTTAGCATATTGGAGTGGAATAAGGAGACACCCTCCCTATGGGTGGGTGGTACATGTAGTCTCATTTCTCACTGCCAACTGTGATTATAGTTTTATTGCTCCGGCTAGATCCCAATATAAATTACTTTATGTTATCCTTGATGTTTTTGTTGTTTGTAGAGAGGAGCTTCTGGTTGCTGGGGAGAGCGAGCCAACAGAGATCTGAAGGTAGTGAAGGGCAAGGCGTTCCGTCATGAGAAGACCAAGAAGAAGAGAGGCAGCTATAGAGGCGGGCAGATCTCCACCACAATCAACTCCATCAAGTTTGACAGTGATTGAGTGATTGCCATGGAAACAGGTGATTTACATCACATACTTTATTGTGCTTGATGATGGTATTATGGTGGTATTGTGCTTTTAATTCTCAATTTAATACATGTTGGTTTTTAAATTTAGACCCAGACAATGTTTCATTTAAACAGGGACCCGATGGCTGAAACACAGATGCTGCCGAAGCCCGATAACTTCTACATGGTTTATGAACCCAAATGATTTGGGGCCTAATAAAATTGGCATGCATGATATTTAGATTTAAAATCATTATAGTTTAGATAGAGCTATCTTGAATCGGTCTGCTAACAGGCCTCTTTTTTGTAGATGTACACATTTTAAAAAAATGGTTGAACTGGTATATTACATGACATTTGATTGTGCAATTTACAGCCCTTAAAATGTTGCCCCTTTTTTTCTTCCCCAGACCTCGTGTGGACATCTGGCAAATGGAAGAGGGGAAAAGATGACTTCTCAAAGTGAAGCCAAGAAATCAGTTTTGTAACCTGCTGATGGCCATCATGACACCTTTAAAGCCCCACTGCACTACTTGTAGGTACTTACGCCCTCTATATAGCCAACAATTCCTAAGGGTACCTGTTGATCCCCCGTGGTACCTTTTTTCTTATGTTAATTGAGAGCTGATTTGATGATATAACCACCTGCCAGCTACCACAAAGGGAGGTCTAATCCCCCTGGCCAAACTAGGGCAGACAGGCTTTAAGTGAATTATTTTTCATAGTTTTAGAGTAAATAACTTTTATGATTTCTTTTTAGAATTTGTTATATCCAGACGATCATGATTTGTTTCTTCCTTTTTGACACTTGTACAAATACTGAACTTCACATTGCATTTTCTATTTTACAATTAACTCTGTGATTTGATGCTTGGCAAGGGGGAGGGTTGTTATTATATTTTGTAGATATTATGCTTTTACTCTTATTGTTTCATGTTTTATTTCAACATTGCTTTATGTTATGTTTAAAAGGTGTTTCTTGAATTGTAGTGTTTTTATTATTACAGTGTAATTTTGCTCTTACCTTTTGTAAGACAAGGTATTTCTTATTTTTAAACATGTTTCTGTGTCATTTACAGGACGGAAAAAGGTCAGGTTGTTGTAGACATATAATTTCAATTTTATGATGAATTAATGAATTGTTGGTTATTTGTTCTAATACAATTCTGAATTGTGTACGATTCATGTGAGAAAATGTTTGTTTTGATGCTACAGGGTAACAGACAATCGAATTGTAGCTATTTAGTTTAAAGATAAGATTCCCAGTAGGGACCCATGACCACACATACATGTAGCTGCATCACTTTCCTGGCTGTGTATTAAAACCTGATTTATTGATTCTCAACATTTCAAACACCACTGTACAAAACTCGACCTGATTTCACTAAAAATCAGTACTTTAGTGACAATTTATGACACCAAAATAGCAGTAAAATACAATTTTTTTCTTCAACTTACCGATGTTAGAAAGAATAATTCGAAAATTCAAATCATGAGTCTACTGTCAAACTTGCTTACAGCCACATCATCTTCATTAGTGCATGTGTGTGTTATGTGTGTATTGACTTGACTATTCATGTGTGCAATTGCTGCCTACCGTATTAGCACGTAGTGCAGTGCTAGAGGTCAATACGCATTAGCATTGACTTTCTATGCTTTGCTGGGGTACCCATGACAGGTTATGTACAGTGTTGGACTTGTTGGTCAAAGGAATGATCTGAGTGCAAATTACACTTGATTACAGGATCTATTCGCACTCATGTTGAGGCTGTATGCATATATCGGCTTTGTACGATAGGTGCAAAGACAGCCTTAACAAGATTGAGTAAATCCTGTTATGAACAAATTAAAATACCGTATGCATCATTTTTTTTATACACGACTCCTAGATCCTTGTTATTTGATGTAAGAAGATTTTTTTCAAGCTAGTTTTGTGTCATCATCGCTGACATATAAATCTCAAGTTTAAAAGGCCCACTTTAGCATGCACACCGAGATAAGCGCACTTACCTCTACCCGCGTTAATGAGCATTGCTACCCATGAATTCACATCACACACACAGTATACCTGTACGCACGTAAACTACTCTACTACACGTACTGCTGCGCATCACGTACTTCAAAGTCCTTAGATAGTACTGGGAACTATTGCACGCTTTTTCATGATAAATTTGTAATGATCACACGTGACCATGTTTGACCAATCCTTGATTAGGAGTGAGTTGTATAAAATTCTTTATTTCTTTATTCTATATACCGTAAGTTTATATGTGTACAAAATCCATAAGTTTAAGTCCTTTAAAGTAGGGGGCACCATTAATTCACAAAGATTTTCCAAATTGTACTTTGTAAAGCTTGTGACAGTGGCAGTGTTCTATCGATATAAATATATTGTCCTATCTGAGTGTGTATATAACTTATCTGGACATTGTTATTCATTTTGGTACTTTAAATGGACATGTGTAAAGCACTTTGATTTAAATGTGAAGAAGTAACAATTCAATAAATTTCTCCTGAAATTTGATGTCTATTCTGGTGTCTTTTCATTCTTTTCAGCAATTTCATCCTTTTCTTCTTCTTTTTTTTTTGGGGGGGGGGGGTCAATTCTAAGGGTTATGGAATATCTTTTTCCAAGAATTGTTTTATTTTTGAGGGGAATATTAGAGATTTTTTAATAAAAATGTACAAATTAATGATATAATAATAAAGTAATAAATGTATAAGGTATTTTCACAACAGTTGGGTTTCTCATCAACCATTCATCAAATTTATGAAATATATATTTTAAATACCTTTTCATACCGGAATGACCAAATGTTGACCTTAGATATTCATACATTAAACTAAATGTTTCATAAATTTGATAAATTGATAGAAAACCCAGAAGTTGTGAAAGTACCTCGTATAATGATATGAGGTACTTGTAGTTTTTCATAAGTTTCTCTCTCTTTTCCTCTTCACTCCTTTCCTTTTCATAAATCTCTTTTCCTCTTCTTGAGTTTCTCCCTCATTTCATCTTCACTCCTTTCCTTTTCATAAATCTCTTTTCCTCTTCTTAAGTTTCTCCCTCATTTCATCTTCACTCCTTTCCTTTTCATAAATCTCTTTTCCTCTTCTTAAGTTTCTCCCTCATTTCATCTTCACTCCTTTTCTTTCTCTTTTCTTCTTCATATGTTTTCTCTCTTTTCTTCTTCATAAGTTTCTCCCTCTTTTCTTCTTCATAGGTTTCTCTCTTTTCTTCTTCATAAGTTTCTCTTTACTTCTTCATAGGTTTCTCTTTTTTCTTCTTCATAAGTTTCTCTTTACTTCTTCATAGGTTTCTCTCTTTTCTTCTTCATAAGTTTCTCTTTTCTTCTTCATAGGTTTCTCTCTTTTCTTCTTCATAAGTTTCTCCCTCTTTTCTTCTTCATAGGTTTCTCTCTTTTCTTCTTCATAAGTTTCTCTTTACTTCTTCATAGGTTTCTCTTTTTTCTTCTTCATAAGTTTCTCTTTACTTCTTCATAGGTTTCTCTCTTTTCTTCTTCATAAGTTTCTCTTTTCTTCTTCATATGTTTCTCTCTTTTCTTCTTCATAAGTTTCTCCCTCTTTACTTCTTCATAGGTTTCTCTCTTTTCTTCTTCATAAGTTTCTCTTTTCTTCTTCATATGTTTCTCTCTTTTCTTCTTCATAAGTTTCTCCCTCTTTTCTTCTTCATAGGTTTCTCTCTTTTCTTCTTCATAAGTTTCTCTTTACTTCTTCATAGGTTTCTCTTTTTTCTTCTTCATAAGTTTCTCTTTACTTCTTCATAGGTTTCTCTCTTTTCTTCTTCATAAGTTTCTCTTTTCTTCTTCATATGTTTCTCTCTTTTCTTCTTCATAAGTTTCTCCCTCTTTTCTTCTTCATAGGTTTCTCTCTTTTCTTCTTCATAAGTTTCTCTTTACTTCTTCATAGGTTTCTCTCTTTTCTTCTTCATAAGTTTCTCTTTACTTCTTCATAGGTTTCTCTTTTTTCTTCTTCATAAGTTTCTCTTTTCTTCTTCATAGGTTTCTCTCTTTTCTTCTTCATAAGTTTCTCTTTACTTCTTCATAGGTTTCTCTCTTTTCTTCTTCATAAGTTTCTCTTTTCTTCTTCATAGGTTTCTCTCTTTTCTTCTTCATAACTTTCTCCCCCGTTTCTTCTTTAATATGTTTCTCTCTTGTTTCCTCTTCATAGTATCTCCCTTGATTCCTCTTTATAGTATCTCCCTTGTTTCCTCTTCATAATTTTCTCTCTTTTTCATCTCTCCAGTCAAGTGATTAACAAAATAGTCTTTTCAACAACTTCTCATTTTCTGAAAATCTCTTCTTTTCATAATTTTCTTTTTTAATCCTTCATAAAAATGGTTCTTCATACCCAAGTCTACAATATGCACAATAATAGAGGGGATTTTACATAGAAGACCTACTTCTCTCACTTTCGATAGTCTTCTGATATATAAAAATGACCATAGAGCATGTACTCCAGCAAATAAATATATTTATTTTGTGGACTCCTTCACATACACAAACATATGGGGGGGGGGCACTAAAAAAGTCATGGTAGGTAATTATAACAAATAGTTTAACAATGATAATAATAACAATCAAAATAATAATGAAAAAAATAATAAACATCAGTCCCCAACATTGTTACAGAAAGCAAAGTACCTATTAAAACAAATATTGAATTAATATTCCTCTACAAAAATGAACATTGTGGTTAAGTATGAAATTGTTTTCTTCCAGTCGGCTGTAAATACATACTGGTACACATGTTCACTGAAACGACAGCTTAATGATTGACGAGGCCTATTGATGTATATTTTTTAAAGCCTCAACTGAAATTAGTTTGTTTGAAACTTGTTGATATAATACTTTTAACATAAATGACCTGCATGTAGTTGTTGGCTCAAAACTCGCCAATACATTGCAAGTTGCAGAAAAAGCAACAGACCAAATGACTTTTATTTTAGAGTATCATTTATGAAGGAATGATTATCACTAGTAATGATAGTGGGAATGCAGATAATCAGAAACATCAGGTCAGACACGTCATAATAGACTAGTTCAGAGATAGCACTTCTACAATGACCCCCACCCCCACCTAATATCGAGAAATCTTCAAACATGGAAAAGTCCCACTTCGCACATTCTAGAATAATCACTGCCAAAGAGATGACGGTGCTTCATGAAAACCTTTTGTTTGCCCTCTTGAAAAGAATTACATGTACTTCTACCTGTGTACCATAGAAAGCCGGTACATAAATGAATAATGATTGATTACATAACTTTCATTAACACTTATCCAGTTTTCATAGCTACAAGTTTTGCAATTTTACACAAATGACCTTTATCTGCCCACGTACACAATAGTATCTCCAAAGTGTCTTATACTGTAATTTCAACCCTATTCAATTTACAGATTTCAATTACACACAGACAAATTGAATTAATATATAAGCCATATTTTTCAGAAAGCTTCTTTTTTTGTGCAAATTGCATGACTTGCATGGTCCTGCATTCAGTAACGTGCAGAAATGATCTAGCAATACAACCCTTAACAAATATCGTGAAAATTATAAGATGTCTCTGGTGAAAGAAAAACATTTTAGTACAGTAATAAAAGCCTACAGTATCTGTCATTTTAAATGCATCACAAATATGCTTTGTTTTTGTCTAAAATTTTCCAGAAAAAAATGTCAAATTTGATAGAACTACAGAAAGTATTGACCCTCTTTTTGTTATGTTTTCCATGTGCACGTGGAAGAAATTGCATAAAATATGTTGTAGTACCAACAAAATCTCCAATCTTGAAAATATCTTCCTGCCCAGAAAGAAATTTGCATGATGTAATATGAAATTAATAATAATATGTGAAAGATATAATGCATTGTAATGCATCCTAGTTGGACAATTAGTAACAATGTCAGCCTCATGTCAAGGGGGTTTGTGTATTTTTGGCACAAATATCTGCTTAATGAATTGGACTTTAACAATAAGAGACTTAAAAATGCCCGGCTACAAATAAACAATTCTATTCGAGTAGAACTCTCTGTTAAAATTTGTATTAAAAAAAATAAAATCTTTAGATCAGTTTGAAGGAGACAAAAATCAGTGTTCAGGATGGAGGGGGAAAAAATCAGGTGTAACCTTTTTGTGTGCGTGGGGGAAGGGGGGTTATGGAGTCTTAAGCTAGGCTGTCTCTGAAAAAGTCTAAAATGTATGTGACAAGCATATTATCACTGTAACCCATATACTTGATACCCCCCCCCCCCCCCTCCAACAACAAAAATAATAATGAAAATAAAAATAATGGTAATAAGAATAAAAATAATAACAATATAAATTATCATTATATATTTAAACAAAAACAATTTCAATATTTCATGACACTGACATCTGAAGTGAAGGATGGGGACTGACTAGTACAAGCCTGTGACAAAGAACAGAAGTATGTTTTGATACAAAGTCTGGAAATGATCGGAAAATAAATTATAGCATTCTGAAGGAGCAATTACAGTAGAGATTCGTTGGTAAGCTCTGTTTTCTTTTCACAAATGTTCACAAATCCATTTTCTGATTTTCCTGCTTCCAACGAGCTAGGAAGGGTAATTCCCATTCATACATCCTCATCATTAACAATTAAAAGCTTCATTTTTATGAAGAGATTGATTGTTGGCAGGTACAAAATGGCTACCTCAGATTGAAGGGAAGAAAATGACTTGGCAGCCAACTTCTAAATTGAGTTGCTATCATGAAAATTCATCACGAAATTCAGAAGCATGGAATTAACATGCAAAAATGAACATTGCGAGAGGTTTACCTTTCAAAATACAGTCCAATGTCTTACAACGGACCTTCCTTTCCATTATACATTTCCAATACTTTTACCAAGAGCACCATCATTCCATAATGATTTTAACAAGTTGTGACATTGTTTTGTTCACAAGTTTCTACTCATATATTTTGTCTTCTTCTAAATAATCAATATTGATGGAAATACAAAGAGAGATATTTCAAGGATATTAACAGCTGTTCCTTTGATAAGGTACATACATATTCTAAACTAACATTTCAAACTACTACCGCCTCATTGCCAATCCGCAATCACACTCATGTGGATGGGCTGCAATGAAGGTATACACAAGTACTTGTGCATCAAGTATTTCCATAGACAATCTTTTATACACATATTAGGAAACACCCGGAGATGTCATAAAAATCTTTCTCCGATTTCCTGATTTCAAGTTCAGTCAGTTTCTCTCTCTCTCTCTCTCTCTCTCACACACACACACACTCGGACACCCGAACCACACACGCACAAACTCTATCTATCTTTATACATAAATTACAAGTGAAAACTTGCTAACTTTTTTCTTCATCTTATAATACACAAGAGTACATATGTTACATAAACAAACAATAGCTGAATTCTCGGTCCAACATCTAACCATCTGACATCACACACTCTGCCCCATCTTTTATCTTTTCTTTTTCATTTTTTTTCTTCAGGAAGGGGAGTTATCGG